TCACATTCAGCAACAAGGTAAGCCCAAGACAAAATAACAGACGGCTAGGTATCAGCTTTGGATTAAACAGATAATAGATCATTTCAATGATGTTTCTGCTTTGTCTTGTGCCAGGAAGGTAACCTGGAATGTAACAGGGACTCCTATTTGAAGTCATTAGGATTTGCAGTGAATTATGTGAATGTAGTCCATTAAAACACTTGCTGATGATTTTGGGTGGGAAGGTGCATGCACCTTTTGTCTTTAATGGTTGTATTCATGTTTCAAGCTAAGCTTACAGTGAGTTTCTGCCAGTGAGCGAGAGGCTGGGTCATGTGACCATGCAGCTGGACTTTGAATTGTTTAAAGCTGTTACCAAAACACCTTTCCTCTGTGACTCAGAATGTAAATCATTAATTTCTTATTTATAATCAGTTAACACTGATCCTTTGTCTTCATTTCTGAGGTCATGGCCACCCCCAGCATTCTCCTGTCAGAGGTGCAGTTTCAGTGTTGTATCTGTCAGGATGTTTTCTATGAGCCCGTCTCCATCCCCTGTGGTCACAGCTTCTGTTTCACCTGCATCACATCACACTGGGACAACAGCCTCGCCATCAGCTGTCCCAAATGTCAGACAGTGTTTGAGGGCCGCCCAGAGCTTTGTGAAAACTCTTTCGCCAAGGAAATGTCAGAGCAGATCCGAACAAGGAGGCAGAACGGCGTCATGTCATTGGCAGGAAAATCCATATATTGTGATGTGTGTGTAGGAACGCAAACAAAGGCCCTGAAGTCCTGTCTTGTGTGTCTGACATCATATTGTGAGAGCCACCTGGAGCCACACCTGAGAGTTTCCACCTTGAAGATTCACAAGCTGATTAAACCTGTAGCATCGCTGGGGAACCGGATATGTAAAAGGCACCAAAGGCTCCTGGAGCTGTTCTGCCGGAGCGACCAGAGGTGTGTGTGTGTGATGTGCACTGAGACTGACCACCGCAACCATGACACCGTCCCAGTGGAGCGAGAGAGTCAGGAGAAGAAGGTGAGGTCCTAAATTCTTCATCATCATTCCATCCAACACATTGGCAGCCTTTGGACACTGATTCCAGTTTTAATTCCTATTCTGATGTTCAGGCTCAGATGAAGAGGATGGAGGCTGATGTTCAGATGATGATCCAGGACAGACTGCAGAAAGTGGAGGAGATTAAACACTCTGTGGAGCTTAGCAAAGTGAGTTGACATAAGATCACAGTTCGCTGTTGGGAAACTGGGATCTTGCAGTGTACATCTATAAGAACGTAAGAAATAGACTGAACACATGCAACTTACACTTTTCGAACAAGAATGGTACACAACGAAAACAAATGATTGGTACTGCTACAGTTAAAGTCCCAAAACATCTACAAAAACATGTTTATATATCATTATTCTGCTTGGAATCTATTTGTATTTACTTATACTAGTACTGCTATGAGGATCACTTGTTGTAAGTATTGCTACTATTAGTATTGCTTCTACTAATAGATCCCCTCTGGACATGTCTTAAGACATCTAAAAATATTATTCCAATAATACTTTGTGTATTTGGAAGAAAAAAGGTTAAATTGTGTAGTTAATACTAACTACTCTCTCTTTCTCATAATTATTTTTTTTTTCGTTATCTTCAGGAAAACTTAGAGAGACACATAGTGGAAAGCAGGGAAGTCTTCTCCGCTCTGTTTCGTGCAGTGGAGAAAAGTCAGGCAGAGCTGATGGAGATGATCCAGAGGAAGCAAGCAGCAGCAGAGCAGAGGGCAAAGAGACTTCTCACAGAGCTAGAGCTGGAAGTCACTGAGCTGGAGAGGAAGAGGCACGAGATGGAGCAGCTTTCTCAAACTGAGGACAACCTCCATCTTCTGCAGGTCAGGAGTTGTCTCACAGCAAGATATTTTATGTTTGATAGTGATATAGGTGCCAAAGATGCCAAAGAACATTCTTAGAAAGTATGAATTCACAAACTGAAGTGGGCTTTGCTAGTTAGTAGTTAGAGTTGTTCTTGTCTTTTATTTTAATTCTCACCCCATCCTCTTCTCTACTTCAAAGCCATTTCTCTAATTTGACTTCTCTGTGTCAGAGGTTCCCAACTTTGAGTTCTCCTCCATCTGCCAAAGCCTGCTGGGACATTATTGTCCATTCAGACACATGTCTGGGGACTGTAAGGATAGCGGTGGCCAACATTGAACAACAGCTTCAATCAGCTTTGAAGAAGTTTTCCATGAAAGGTGAACTTCTAAAAAGATTTGTTCTTGGCATTTTGTGACAAAACAAGCTACTTAAATTTTATGTCATGATCACAGGTTGAATACATAAATGTTTAGTTTTTGATTATATGTTTTCTTTCTTCACTTACAGAGCATGAGAAGATGCAGAAGTACGCAGGTACAGTTGAACTTAGACAATAAAAATGTCAATAAAAGTCTCTCTTTTGTTTTTGCTTATAAATTACTAAATTGATTGCATGCAACTGGACATTACCTGCATTTGTAACACTGAGATAAACTGTGATTTCATTACTTTTCATCCAGTATTTGGGACAGTATCTTTCTGGATGCCTCAACTAATGCAACTTAACCAAAAATAACAAAGAATAATTTAGTCTCAGCAGAAAGAGGATAATGGAGTATGTTTGTCTACCAGTTGATGTTCATCTGGACCCCAGGACAGCCAACCCTTGGCTGGTTCTATCAGAGGATGGGAGACAGGTCTTTGATGGAGATGTTGAACAGGACCTGGTGGACATAGCAGAGCGTTTCGACACGGCACCATGTGTCCTCGCCACCAAGGTAAACAAAGATGTGGATTGTATGTGTTTATCTCTGTAGGGATGTCATGTATTTCTGTTTTAGCCCCAGTGACTTGAGATTATCTTGTTATGCAGGGTTTCACCACAGGGAGGCTCTACTGGGAGGTAGAGGTGGGAGACAAAACAGCGTGGGACTTAGGTGTGGCTCGACAGTCAGTCAACAGGAAGGGTGTGGTGACACTGAGTCCAGAGGACGGTTATTGGACCATTTGTTTGAGGAAGGGCAGTGAGTACCGGGCATGTGCAAGAGAGGCGGAGCTGCTGTGTCTCTCTCAGAGGCCTCAGGTGGTTGGGGTGTTTTTGGATTACGAGGATGGGACGGTGTCCTTCTATGATGCAGAGACCAAGTCACATATCTATTCCTTTACACAGTTCCAGTTCACTGAGGCCATGTTTCCCTTTTTTAACCCAGATATGAGTGACAGCGGCAGCAACAAATCACCACTTATCATCCGCCCTGTCAGTGGAGGCAATGGAGTCTGGGATTTAGATGACATTACAATATGATGTATTTCTAGGTTCTTTTTTTTATGTCATGGCATAGAAATGGCAGCTATGTTTTAATTACACTACCAGTACACTATTTGTAAACTGAAATTAAAAAAAAGAAAAAGTTGTAAAGATCAAATACACTGAAGTAGAATGTTTTGTTATTAAAAGTCTAAATATTACTTAGAACTATATTAACAAAAGACAATATGGTTTATTCTGCCAACAATTCATCTGGAAATCTGGAATGTTTTAATGAAACAAAATGCATATTGTACAATAAATACTTCATTAGTTACCTCAAACACTGTCTTATAAAATCTTTTTATATTAAAGGAATTCATTATTTGTTGATTCATTAACAGCAACAACTGCTTTCACACATGGATCGAACATTTCCTGTTTTGGACTTGCCCTCTCTCCCTAGAAATTTTTCACTGTGTCGTATTTGTTGTACATGCCTACCTCTTCTCCTCCTCCTCCTCCTCCTCCTCCTCCTTTTTCCTCTTCACTCATGCTCTCTAAAAAGTAACACCTTGAGCACAGATCTTAGACCTGCCTCACTCCAACGGTATCTATCCTCAGTAATTACAGGCTAACCACAAAACTGACTTCAGACCACGTCTTAGATTTACAACCTGACGGCTGCTAATCAGATTAGTGCAGAGATGGGATTATCCTTAGGGCAGATGGAGCACTGAGGGAGACTTCAAGATTGAGTCTTGGGAGGAGGTATTATACACACAATCTGTACACTCACAGGTTAGCAACTGAATTAAATGTATGCATGCAGACACCCACTCTTTGCATGTACTCATTTAACACTTGTGAATTCCTGAAAGAATTTCAATGAGGAGACATGTCTCTAAAGAGAGAGCTAAAGGGGTTTGTGAAAGAAGGAAGGAGGAAGGGATGAAGAGGGATTAAAACTGATATCATCCAAGCACAGGGCGGAGACACACATATGTAGAGAGCCAGCAGATTGCACTGAACACCAGACTAAAGCAAGAACACTAAACATTTCTGTACCAGACCTGGCCAGCAGACTAGGGTAAGTTAAATATTTTGTTAATATAGTTTTTAGTTTTGGTGTCTGCTACTGTAGGAGGATATATGAGAATGCAAACCACTGTCCTAACAGTATGATTCCTGATGTTTATAGCTAATTGTGCAGCAACGTACATCTCAAGTCAGCAAATAGTGAATGAATAATGATTTTTTTTTACCCTTATCCCTAATCCTAACCCCTCACCCTAACCTTTTCATCATTAAAAATGTACAACGCAGCTAAAATTAGTCTCCAGGCTTCAGTAGATTATACATAATGTGTGTAGAGTATTGTAGTAATTCACCATAATGGTAAAAACGAGGAAGGGAAAGATGTTTTAGACTCTACAATTACTAATGTTAATGTAGCAGGTCACAGTCACAGGATTAAATTACAATTTTTGATTCCTCCATCTTGCTGTAGTCCTAAGAACCTTTATAACCTTGTATTAATTATAATATATCAACCTGTTTAACCTATATAACCACAGCTGTGGATATCTACTGTTTATGATTTATGACATATGTTTGCTGTTATGACATTTAAAAGTCTGGAGCTTTCTGATTGGCTGAGTCTGACCGGAGAGGTGTAATGTCGCCAGTGGTGGATGAGACAGCCGGGGATCTCCCAGTCAGAGATGTGGGAATGAGGGGGGGACTGATGCCAACTGTCCCAGGTTTGTGTGCATACGCTATTATCTGTTTTACATGTTCTTTAACAGTTCCATTAATTAACATCAGAGATTTCAGAGAAAGGCCCATTACTTAATTTTAAAGTAAATAGGCAATAAAATGAACTCCCACAAGATTATTGAATCTTTGGATTGTTCTTTCTTTAGGCTATTAGTAGAATACTTACCGTCTGCATCTTAAACATTGAATGCCTTGAACTCATTAGGTGGTATAGACAGATTTATGATGCATATCCTTTAGGTAAGAACCCATATTTTCATCTGTTGTGTGATCTTGTTTAATATCCTAACCCCCTTCATGTATATTACCATTGGAAAATTGGAAGGTTTCACGCATTTTGTACATAGAACAACTGGTGTAATTTTAATATCACTCAACATTGATAGTGTGACAATGTTGGCATAGAGCCACAGAGCTGGTTATATAAAGGGACATCAATCATGTAGATATTATCAACATAAATCCAGTGAGCTGCAGTATTTTTAAGTTAAGGTTAAGTAAAGGTGTTTAGTTGTAAGAGTGAAGGTTAGCAGTATAGGCAATGAAATGACTCAAATGCCTTTATAAATTCTGCAATAGAAGTGCATTTGTTTATATTTGTTTGTTTACAGATTCTCTACGTGATGTGAAGCCATGGAAGAAGCATCATGTCATGAAGACAAAAGGTCAAACCACTTTACAAAACTCATCTCAACATTTAAACTCAAATATAATAATAGACTTCAATTCAATCAAAAGCACACTAAAGTACATTTTCTGTCAATGTATCAACTATTCTCTTTCTTTCTCTCTCTCTATGTATCTGTCTGTTTCTCTCTTTAGTAGATCCTCAGCGCCTGTTTCGGTTTCCCAGAGAGCACCTGGAGGACCTATGTCTCAGACTGCAAGAGGAAAACAGTGTGCTAAGACAACACACACGTACACAGGAGCAGAGGCTACGCAGGTAAAACACGTTAACACAGAAACACTGACACATACCCTGATGACTGTGTGACATCAGACATTTGGGCAAAATTGGGATCATCACAATGGCATATCTGTGAATAGCTGGGACAGGCATCCCTGTTGTTGCCCCAGGATTAGATTTAAAGACATATATGATAAAGATAATTGCCCTAATATGGCTGATTTAACTTTCTTCTCCTTACCTCAGGATGTCCACCAGACTGATGCGTCTTCGTCAGGCCCGTCCAGGGTCTAGTGGAGTGAAGGAGAGGGACATGGAGGACACCATACAGGAGCTGGAAGCCCGTGTTTCTATGCTGGAGAGACAGAAAGGGGCGCTACAGAACAAACTCAGCCTGGCCAAGCAACACATTATGGACATTGGGGGGCGCACGCCATACAAGTTCAGTAAAGGTGTGTGTATATAGCACCCGAATAAAGGCCAGGGTGAGTACTGCATCCTCTTCCATCTCTGACTTTCCTCCCTCACGTCTTCTTCTTCTTCTTGTCAGGTAAAAGTATGGAAATGGAGGGTGGAATCAGGAGGGCAGCCCAGACTGCCCCGCCCCGCTACGGCCCCATGTTGGAAGACACCAGGGCAGACATGGATAGATTGTAAGTGTCCCATGTAACACTGAGGAGAACAGAACAGAACTAAAGAATATTTTGACAGTATTTGTCAATATGATACATCCCTTTTTCCTAAACAGACACTGTCACCTCAGGTATGTGAGTAAATATCTGCCTACAGACAGATAGAATAGCTCTGTGGAGTGCAGTGTTTCTCATATTAGCTAAAACCTTAGTACTTGTGTACAGTCCACTCTGGTAATAATTAAGCTATAGGATTTGTGCAGGCAATTAAGAATATGCATATACATATACATATACATATACTACCCTTCCTGATGGAAACTGTGTGTGTATTTGTTCTGTTTCTATGTCCGTTTTTCTGTCTTTACCTCCATTCCTTATTCTGTTAAACAAATTCCTCCTGTTTCTATCCTCTGATCATATCATCATTTAACCTCCGTTTTACTAAGTGACTCTTTATTTCCCCTCAATCCCACTCTTACTCCCAAACCCCCTTCATCACTCCACCCTGACCTCCCTCTACCCCTCTGCATCCCTCCCTCCCAACAGGTCCAGTGTGACAGAGCAGGTGAGGGTTGCAGAGCTGGAGCTGACTGCCCAGGCGCTCAGAGACACGCTGAGAGACAAAGAAAAAGAGATTGAGGGAACTGTGAAAGAGATCAGGAAGCAACAGGCTGACAGACACAGGTTACCACTAATGTTACTAATACTTATATGACGGCCACTCCTGCAGTTAGTGACAGGAGGCATTGCATTTTCTGTGTGTAGTATATTTTTTAAATCAGTAAATGTATTTTTATTTGAATACATTTCAGTGTACTTTTCTTCAGTACTGCTACTAAGTAGATGTTCAAACCTGCATTTACACAGAAAGTAAAATATATTTGAAATAGCAAATTTCTGCACAAGGTGGTCATCATAGCACTCTTTCCATCACAACCATGTCAATAAAAATAATTAATGTTAATAATTATGTTTATCTTTCTGACAGAATAACTATAAGAGAGAATGTGGATCTGATCCGTATACAAAAGCAGCTTTCAGAGAAGAGCACCGCTCTGAGAGTCACCCAGGAGAAGTTTAACAACTTGCAAGAGGTTACATGACCTTATGTGTCTATAAATCATTCATTTCTTCTGTTATTTTATAATTTGATTACATCATCTTAATAATTCAGGTTCAGTTACACTTGTATCTGTTCACTTAAAAATTAAATATTTCCCTTCTGTCTTCCTTCCTTACTTGACAGGCATATGAGAATCAGCTCGAGGAGGTAAACAGCCCGTTATGCAAAAAGCGTAATGAACACTTCAAACAAGTAGTCTGATATTTATTCAGACATTAATCAGTAATCATATTAATTTTGATTGTGTCATGTCACCTCCTAGAGTCAGAGGTCGCTGAGGGAAAGCCAGGGAGCTCTGCTGGGGAAAGTGGAGGAGCTGAGCGAGCAGCTGAAGCAGGAGAGACAGAGAGCTCTGGCACTGGAGGGGGAACTTACCGCCTCTACTCTGTCTCTCCAGACCCTGGACAAGGTATCGCATCTGTATCTGCATGTATGTATGTATGTAAGTCCAGACTAAGAAGGGATCATGTAACGTTTTTTTTTAAAAGATTTCATTCTTCTTCTTTCAGCTACAAGAGAGGATATCCGATCTGGAGGGTGAACGGGATCTAATAAAAGAAAACTATGACACTTTACTAGAGAAGTAAGAGTTAAAGTCTTCTAGACCATGCAAAACAATCTCTAGGATCTTATGGAGCACATTCGCCAAGACACTTGGCCGATGCAAGTTGCCATGCAAGAGTAACAGAACACAGCATTTTGTGTTTCACCTTGTATGTTAATATATATTTAACTTTTTTCTTTCCTAGTACTTTATCTGGGCAAAGCAACCCTGATGGCCGGGTGGACAGACACATAGAAGTGGACCTGAGGAGGGAGAAACCGGGAGAAAACGTCAGCAGGACGGACATCCAGAGACTGGAGGAGAGGCTGCAAGCTGAGAGGGAAGAGAGAGGCCGACTGGAGCTGGAGAAGGAGAAACTGAGACGAGAGAAGGAGACATTAGAGGAGCAGACAGAGCGAGAAAGAGGTGCGGGTCTCAGCATGTTGGCACTGCATCTGCAGCAGTTTGATGGATGATTTAGAGTTAGTTGATGAAGATCGTTTTTATTAAGGATTCTACTGAACACCCGAAGCCTCAACGCATCTCACAGATTTTCCTGTGACAGAATAATACAATATATCAGTTTATTCATTTATGTGTCCTGTGTTGTTTTATTTAGAGTTTTCTGGGATGATGAGAGACAAACGAGAGCATCTGGAGCGGGAGGTTCTCCAGTACAGAGAGCAGGTTTCTGCTCTGCAGGAGAGACTGGACTCTGTCACCAAGGTCAGAGATGAAGAAATTTATGCTATAATTCTAAACAGTTTCTCACATTTGTTTTCTCTCTTATTTGTTTTGTGTGTGTTATCCTGTTTTTAACACATATTCTGACCTTTTTATGATGTCTTCCTTCTCTCTTCCAGGAGTTTGACATGAGTGTTGATGAGCTCAGTGACACTCTTTTGCAGATCAAGGTTTGCACACACAAAGACTAAATAAATTGCTTTTAAAAGACTAAATGAATTGCTTTTAAACCTAGTTGCATGCTTTGCCTCCACCTACAGGCATTTAGGATACAGCAGGAGAGCAGGGGGGGGCTGCCTTTCCTCTGGACTGATGGGAAGGTGGAAGATTCCCCCCGTGAGCTGGCAAGCATCCAGGCATCGCATGCTGAGACTGTGCTGGAATTACAGAAAACCAGAAACATTCTACTGCTGGAGCACCGCATCAGTAAAGACCTGCAGGTAAACACAAATAGACACTCAACATATCTTTTAGATGAATGATCGCATCACAAAACTGTTATCTGTATTGATACTCATGGGATTGTCATTCTTTATTTAAAGTGAGTTTATTTTAACTTCTTCAATCAAACTTTCCTTCCCAAGGAAGAGTTGAACACAGTCAAAGAGAAGATGGAGAGAGAGAGGGAGGAGAGCAGGAGGAGGATGGCAGAGAAAGACAAACTTTTGTCAAAAAGATCTCTTCAGATCAACACTTTACAAGGTAAAGTACTACAACACTCATTTCCATAGAGCCAACCAAACCTAATATAATTCCTAACCAGTTACGTCTGTGCTGCCTATCGCTGATTGACTGACATGCAGGAAATTATGTGTTAACATGGTTGGCCTGAGCAGCAAAGATATAGAAAAAAACTCATCAACTCATTTTGTACTTTTGTTTGTACTCTACAGCTCAGTTGAAAGAGTTAGCATACAGCCCCAGGAACTACAAACGGACCATACCAATACAGTACACCTGGCCAGCTGGAGACCAGGAGGTGGTACAGCCTATTGAAGATGACATGCCTTTTTCTCAGCTGAGGGCTGGGGAGTCACTGCTGGAGATCCACCTTAAGGTACTAAAACACTGTGCCTTAAGGTTGTACCTGAATTTTTTTTCATTCCAAATCATTTGAATATTTCCCATGAAGCTTGAATATTTTTTTGTTTTTCCAGGCTGCCACCTTCACCCCAGCAGGGCTTCGTACTATGGGCAGCATCCGTCCAGGAATGGATGGACGTGAAGACATTGTGACCTTCTGCACCTACAGCCTCTTGGACTTTGAGGTGCACTCTACTCCTCTGATATCAGGCAGCCAACCCAGCTACAGCTTCACATCCCGCTACGCTCTAACAGCCCGAGATCTGGGCAGGCTGGGAGGTCAGGGGTCAAGGGTCAGAGTGGAGCTCCACCAAGCGTTAGGAGGGGTCAAGTTTGTTACACATGGAAGTGGGCAGATGTCCCTCATGGGCGCCATGGAAAGGAGAGGGGAGCGCATCGGTGGACATGTCAATATCACAGGTGAGTAATTTATAAATAAAAAGCAATATACTGGATTTGATGCTTTTTTTCATGCATAAAGAATAAATATTGTGCTGTAATGTTCTTACATTATTACATAATGCATTGTGTGTGTTCATCTGCAGTAATAAGACAAGAATCAATGTCTAAAAATCTGCCTGTCTCTCTCCAAGGCTCTGAGGGTGAAGTTGTTGGTGTTGTGGATTTCTGGGTGCGCCTGTTCAATCCCGCAGAGCCTGTAGACACTGTGGTAGAGAGAGGAGCTGACAGGAGAACAGCCACACAGAGGAGTCCTGTGCACATTCCTCTTGGCTGGCAAGATACTGGTCATGAGGTAAAAGAGAGTGATTTACTGACAGTCTGTCAGCTTATGAAACAGTACATACATATAGCATGTAAGATGAAGGAACATACTGTATGTAAAAAAGAAAGACTTGTTATTAATATGACTATCATTGAAGGCTCTGTTCACCCAAATATTTACATATTTTCTCACAGGAGTTGCATGACTACGGTGGGGGGATCCCCAATGAGTTGGTGGTTATGTTGGAACATTGTGTAGGCCTTAATGCTCGCTGGCCTGGACTTCTTCCTGACGCCTACCTGACATACAGGTTCTATGACCTGCCACCTCACGTCTCTCAAATAGTCCAGTGCACCGCTGACCCGGTGTTCAATGACACCACGAAATACCCACTGGCAGTAACAGCTGATGTGTTGCACTACCTGAGGTATGACAGTCTGGAAACAGAAGAAAATTATTAATTTGTTGTGAAACAACCTTTTTACATTTTGTCTTCATTTGGGTTTTTAGCAGATAAATTGCCTCTTACGTCTCTGGCCAAATGAATGTGTATCCTTACAACATTAAACCCCTCTCTCACCCAGGTCCAGCAGTTTATGGGTGTATGTGTTTGATGACAGCGATGACCAGATCCCGCCAGCCTATCTGGCCAAGACCCCCATCCCGCTGCGAGCCCTGGCTACAGGCAGAGAGATCAGAGGTGAGGGAGAGAGAAAAGTAAAACAGCAAACATTATTCATCTGCATCCCTTACAAGAAGAAACATTAATTTAGATGGAGGTGAAAGCCAACAGGTTATTTTTATTTTCACAAACTCAAAAGTTGCACAAAATTAGTGCTATGATACCAATTTCTGCCTCAACTACCCAATCAGCAGTTTTTCTCTCTCTGTCCTGTCAGGTGACTATGTTCTGAGAGATCCAGCTGGTGGACCTCGGGGCATGGTCAGAGTCATGATGAAATGGAAGTACCCCTTCCAGCCATCAGTGGACGCCGTGGTGGGTAGACAGGAAAGACAGGACAGAGCAATGGAAAGCACTGAGAGGGAGGAGAGGAGGAGAGAGGAGGCTGAAGTGTCACAGAGACCCATAGCCAAGCCCAGAGTAAAGGTGATTATTGATAAGAGTGCATCCAGCATCATGTTAGTTAGCATCATGTTACAGGACTAAAATGTAGGATGTGTTCAAAGACACTTTCTGTTTCCTATCTTAATACCTGTTCTTTGCCACAGACTCAGCTACTTGAGCCAAGAGAAACCAAAGCAGTGCAGAAAGAGACTAAAGCTTGGGTAAGGTTTTAAGCGCCCACAAAAGTAGCTGATGTCTGTGTTTTCATGATAAACCAAGTATAAACTCTTTTGTTTACTACTATATTTGTCTGTTTACAGCCTCAGCCTCCACCTGTCAAACAGAAAAGCTCACAGAACATGCGACCAGAGCAACCCACCTCTGTGGCCACTCGCCAGTCTGTAGACAGGAAGAGATCCACCAAGAGGTCACCTGAGCTTTACCAGCGCACACCCAAACTGACCCCTGAGCCGAGACTGACGCCCTCTCGTTTGTCAACAAGAAAGTACGTTGCACATTTGTTTTTCTTTTTGAAAAGCTTGATAAAGTTCTAAACATTTTGGACGCATGTGTTGTTCCACCGTTCCATGGTTGTAAGTTTCACTTCTACTAAAAATGTTTTTAAGATAAAATAATGAAAATATATTTAAAAAAACCATGTAATCTTATTTAAGATTATCAGAGAGAACGTCTTCCAGACAATCAGCCACCACACTGTCGAGGAAAAGCTCTGCCAGCGATGCTAAGACTCAGGTAGGAGCTCACACATACAAGACTTAATTAGAATTATAACCAATTGAGAACTGGTTGGTGAACGGGCTCATATGTCATTTCTTCTTCTCAGGACCTGGATCAGGTGTCTATGGAGGAAGAGGAGGAGGAGGAAGAGGAGAGGAGTGAGAGTGGTAACTATTCATGTACACACAATAGGCCTAAACACCTGCTTTGAATAACTTACTCTCAGTAACTTGAAGCCTCACTTTGCCATTGTTTAAATATACAAAAAATGATTGTATGATAACCTCTAAACCTTTCCTCTAATTTTCAGTTCAACCAGTTGAATTTAAAATGAAATAAATCATGTTCATATTATTTTTGTACATATTACAGCTGCAGCAGCAGACAGTGAAGCCCCAGAGTCTTCAGAGTCAAGTTCCTCACAAAGCGACATTATCGTCATTCCACCAAAACAAAAAATGAGGAAGGTATGAACTGTGAGAAAAAAACATCTGAATGAAAGAGAAAAAAGGGAAAGATTTAAGCATCAGTGTTTCATCTGCTTCAGTAAAGGTTTATGAACTGGACTGAATTTCGTTGTGTTTCAGGGAGACAAGCTGAGAGTAGAGATTCTGTCCCTGACTTTTGAACCGTCCTCACAAGTGGCGCTAGACAAGTCAGTGCAGCGTGTTTATGTGGAATATCGGCTGCTGGGCGTCCCGATGGAGACGACAGAAACACCCATGTCCCTCCGCAAACCCAAAGAAGGGGAGGAGATTCACTACAACTTTACCCGAGGTGAGAGTGGGTGGGATTTGTGTGTTTGTTTTCATCACAAAACTGCTTTACAAACCCCAAATCTCTCTGTTTGTCTCTCTCAGTGATTTATGTGGATGGTTCTCAGTCAGCTCCACTCAGACAGTATCTTTACACCATGTTGGAGGGCAGTGACCCCAACCAGGGCAGGTAGTGTCATCAGTGTTATCTTTTTACACAGTAAATGTATGTGTCACTTTATGAATGTTTCTTGTCCCAAACCACAACATTTAAGTGAGGCATGTCTGTGTGTCATGGCTGAAGGTTAAAGTTCACAGTAGTCAGCGAGCCAATGGATGATGACGAGGAGTGTGTGGACGTCGGACATGCTTTTCTGGACCTACAGGAACTGCTCCTGTCTGGAAATGATGTCATTGACCAACAAATTGACAGTAGGTGTTTTATTTGTGTGTGTGAAAACTGTAGCCAGAAACAGATTTAGGTTCAGATTTTGTACAATGTTATGTATATTTGTAAATGTCCTCCTTCAGTTTCAGGCAGAGGAGGATGCTTTTATACTCTTTCTGGGATGAAGTGTGAACAGTTTTCTTACAGTCTGTCTGATCCCGTGTCTCTGTTTCCTCCAGTTGTGAGTGTGGATGAAGACAAGGAAGTGATTGGAAATCTGAAAGTGTCTCTGGAAGCAGCGAAAGCTCTGACTGGGATATACCAAGAGTTTCACCAGAAAAGCGAGACCAAGGAAGAAGACAAGACAGATGAAGAAGAAGAAGAGGAGGAGGAGAAAGAGGAGGAAGAGGAGGAGGAAAAGGAGAAGGAAGAAGAGGAGCAAGAGGAAGAGACGAAAAAAGATCAGATGCCGGTGGTAGATTATGGTGATGAAGACAGTGACTTTTACTGAATGCAATTAGATGATCAGATGGGTTGTTTTCTGTGTGAAACCGTTTTAATATTGTTTGTAACCTCTTCTTCAACATTTCCAAAAGCAATGAAATAAAGAGTCATTTTTTAAAAGACATTTCAGGCTGTGCTTTGAAGTTTGTTTATGGATTTTATAAGTTTATCCAGTCCATCTTTATCATGTTTCTGATTGACAGACACATTAGGTGTTATTTATTTCTCCACCAAATGCACACAAAGAACTATCTCTGTTACATTGTGTATTCTTCAAAAAGTCATACAATTATAGTATTATATTATATATATTATTATAAGTATTTGTTCAAATAGATGAATAGAAAAGAAAGAGTGGTGTTAAACTGATGATCATCATTACTGCTGATAACTTGTCATTTTAGGAATATGTTATGTGAAGGGCTGGACAGCACACATCATTCAACATTCACCATATCTAAGATTGTTGGTTAGCTCCTTAATTGGTGTTTAATCAAGTTGCCATACACAAACTGATAAATGGAAAACCAGCATAAGAGCACTGATTGGTGTCTGTAATTTGAGCGTAAAGGGAATTTGGTGGCAGCAGAGTTCACAATGCAGTAGTGTGCACAAGTAGTTACATTTAAAAGACTCAAGATTACAATTAAGGACATTTATTTTGTATGTTTACTGCACAATTTTAAGAAAGCTCAACTATTACATTTATAATAGCTCTTTTAAAATGCATGAATTTATACTTTGATTCTTACTAAAGTAATCAAACCACATCTCAATTTATTTTGTGGTCTCGCGAGACTGTGATTCAAAATTTGCAGGAAAATTGTAATTTTTCCGACAGTCATTAAAAGCGTCATACAATTAGAGACACCTGCATCCTCACAACGGCAGAGCAAACCTGAATGTGGAAGGCACAGTTTTAATAAGTTATATGAGCTGTCAAACTAGTTTAATAGTGGAGCCAGTGGCAGGTTGCAGAGGCCGCCGCGGGTTTGAGTCCTGTAACTAAAGGCTCCAGATAAAGTTAATTAACTTGAGCTAGATTTGGAAAGAAAACACAACGTGCTAACAACGTGATATTTTTTAAACGGGTAGCTTAGCTCCGGATTTTAAATAGTTCTACAAGTGGTTCCTATTCAACAATGGTAAGTTTGTATTACCTCACGTTCATTTAGGTCAACGCTAAAACCAAATTAGCTGAAGGCTAGTTTATTAGTATGCTAATTAGTCGTGCGAGTATCTTAGCCGCCATTACTAATCGTGGCTAAGAAACTTGGCCTTGTGCTGCTTCCTCACGACGAAGCAAATGGACCTCTCATTTCCACACTGCTTTTAATTAAACAACATAAATGTTTGACTTTTAATTAACAGAAGGAGACAACGAAGCCCGTCAGCCACCAGCAGGCCAGACAGCTGCTCCACAACAAGTTCATTGTGGTGCTCGGAGACTCAAGTGAGCACTCGCTTTAGTTTTACATGCAGACTGTCCATTTGCCAGCAGTCTGTATCTGGCCACTGAGTTGTGATCCACTTTTAATGCTGTCTGTGTCTCGTCCTCAGTCCAGAGGTCTGTATACAAAGACCTGGTTCTGCTGTTGCAGAAGGAGAAATATCTCTCTTTAAAACAGCTCAAGAGCAAGGTAAGTGATGTTTTATACAGTCTGTAAACATTCACCAGGTTTACAGACTGATTAAAAAGGTGAAACGTGAAGAGATTCTTCTTGAAGGCTGTTATTATAAGTTGTGACCTCAAAAAAATGTGTAGCAACATTACTCCATTTCTTGTTCTCAGTGGATTTCAGGCCAAAGTTGATTACATTTTTGACTCTGTCCTCACACCCCAGTTTTAACTCACTCTCTCTCACCCTTTCTCCTCCAGGGTGAGATGAGCTTTGAACAGGACTGCCTGGTGGAAGGAGGTTGCCTGAGCGGTATGCATAATGGAACGGAGTACCAGGAGGTTCGACAGTTTCAGTCCGCCCACCATCTGGTCCGTTTTTACTTCGTCACACGCATTTACTCTCGTTACATGGAGAGCATCCTAGAAGACTTCCGCCAAGGCTTGAAACCAGATGTAGTCATTATCAACTCCTGCGTTTGGGATATTTCAAGGTGGGTCTTGTAGGATGTTATTTTTGAAGGTGTATGTATACGTTTATTTAATCAAAGGTGATTCGGTTCAACAAGCTAATCCCCGTCCCTTCATACAAGACTGCACTTGACTTTGTTAGTTTGTGGGTGGTGAGATAGCTGAACAAACCCGTGGGTGATGTGGATTAAAAAAAACATTTTGATGTATTTAATCACAATCATAGTCCACAATCTAAGTTGTGATATTTGATTATTTATTTTTTCTCAGGTTTGAAATGGCCTATAAACCGCTCCATCCACCATTAAAACACAATAGTGCATTAAAGATACTGCACAGGTTTCAAAATGGTGATTTAAACCTGAGTTTAATTTGAAGTTGTATAACATAATCATAAAATAACACTTTCCAAGTTTTTTCAAGTACTCACAACTCAATTGTTTACAATAGGTCACCCAAGAAGAGCCATGTGTCAATTGTCTAAACATCTAGTTGGATACATCAGTCATGATTGGCTTTGTTCACGTAGAGCAAATCTGCTAGTCAGTGTGGTTAGGTTAAGTTTGGAAACAGAATTAATTCAATACCTGAAAAGGTAAATTATGGATGCCTTGGATCACAATCCTGATCTAAAATGATCAGTTGTCTACACCTAGTTGGAGGTGTGTTTGGATTGGCAAAAAGGTGTGGTTTATTCTTTTCTCTCTCATCCCCACCACTACATCTATCAGTGATGGTGAGGTAGGTGTGGGTAGACGGGAACAGTTCTTTACAATCTTATAACAGGTGGTATCCTGCTCCAAACAGCTGTAATTTTCCACAGTCACACCCTCATTTAAGCGATCGGATTTGATCCGTAAGAGTGTGTGTGTGTGTGTGAGAAAGAGAGACAGACACACAGCAGTAGCAGAGGACAAAGCCCTGCTCAGCTTGAATGTATCAGGTTTGCCTGAACTACAATGAACTGAAGCTGTTTGCCTAACCTGTTCCCTGGTGTAAGGGCTCTAAATAGGGTCTTTGGCACTTTTGGAAGTTTCACGGCCGAAGTAGTTTCTCCTACCCGCTTGGAAGGCTGAGCTGTATTCAGTTAGTTGCAATCTGTTACTAAATCCTGCACTCTGGTCCCAGTTTGATTAGTTTGTACACAGTGAATGTGTTCTTCATAGGTTTGTCTGTGTTTGTGTTGGGTTTGTAGATACCTTTCCAGTTGGATTGATGACTACAAGGAGAATCTGCATAAATTCTTTAAAGAGCTACGTGGCGTTCTTCCGGAGGAATCCCTGGTTGTATGGAACCTCACCATGCCCTTAGGGGAGAGGATCAAAGGTGGTTTCCTGGTGCCAGAGGTACGTCATCACCAACCATCCGCATCATCACCAGACATGGAAATTTGGTCTTGTTGGGTGAAATTGGAATATCCCCTCTTTCACTGACAGTCGGATCTCATCCTGACAATTGAAGGGATGATTGACGTTTGGTTTTTCTTGGCTGATATTAAGGCAATTTTAATTAGCCTTTCTGTGGATAATTATAAAAATCTCTATAATTTGCACTCTACTCTGCATTTAGAGGCAAGTCCTTAATTACAAACCAGTTTGCATTTCTTTTCCACGGACACGTCACATCCCCGTTCTCCATATGCATGCTCACCAAAACCTGACTCTATGCTCTATATGAGTCATTGACTATGATTTGGATTGTGAAATTGAAGGTAAGATAATGATGATAAACAGAACGTGATGCTGTGATATTGTGCTGCACCTGGCACAGACATACACTTTGATTTTTTTTACGCTCTCAATTGAATCTATGCTGCTGTGCCACTTAGCAAAAAGAATTCATAATACATGATTAATATCAACCAATAATTTAGCAGCTGAATTTAATTATGGGGATAATCTATAATTATAAATTTCCCATTATTAGCCAATTGCCTTAATTATTGTGCCTCCCAAAATAATAAATATATTTACTCACATTTTGCATCCTGTGTGGAGCAGAGGGTGCTAGAGCCAGTGCTAGCTTGTAATCCCACAGATTCCAGTGATGGACCAATTTTCCCATCATCTTTTGTCCGAGTGCTGGCTGTGTAGTTTTTATTTTCCACAATGCTA